CCCAAGCCCGAAAGGGCGCTAGGGTATTTCGTGGTCCGTGGATGCCCCGCCCAACAACCTTCACTCGTCTTGCTTCCGCCTGCACGGCTCCGTCTTCATTTGGATATCTCCACATTCCTGTGGAATCTGCCTATGATCTCTATCATTCATTGGCCTATCTGGTGTCTTGGTAGCAGACCCGAATGGACCTCTGGGCAACATTCCCAGAGGTGATAGTGGTTTTCCTAGCTCTCCACCATAGCTAGGTTTTCCCACTATTCCTCTGACTACATTTAAATCTATTTACATATGTACATTTACACTTTATTCTGTACAAACTATCATGTAGCGATATGGGCTGCGGCCATCGTTTGAATGAAATAAATTTGATTGATTGATTTTGAAAAAGACAAAGAACAATGTTGCTAGAACCGGTATATCTGCAGAGGAGGACATCACCATGTACAGAGCAATGATTTCCGCATCAATGACACCAATCATTACGAAAGTCATGAGGGGATAGGCCATCACATCGTTCACAAGGTTTAATTGGATTTGGATATTTCTATATTTCATCAAAATCCCATCCGAATTTGTGGATAGATTCCTAATTTGAAATAAAATTGTCAAATTCTTTTCAAAATTAGTTTTAAACACAATTGATTTCAAAGCTTACACTCTTAGCAAAATTATAATGAATCGTTACTGCGCGGAATGCATATATGAGTCTACCTGGGTGGTAATATTATACTACTGCACAGAATTGAATTGTGGTAGCATACCTCAACATTTTAATTAATATTCTTTCATATGGATTCATTAATGCCGCTATAAAGAGGCTATTATATGACAAATCAATTCCGTGCAGTATTATCTAATATTACCATCCACGGTAGAGTCTTATATGCACTCCGGGCAGTAATGATTCGTTATAATTTTTCTATAAGTGTACAAATTATAAAAATGTGTGATACTATTTGTATGCTGTAATTTTCCCCCTACTTTGTTATCACGTTGAAATATACGCTTGACAAGACAGCCGAATGCGCAGGTAGGATCAGAACAATGATTACCGCACTGGCTTGGCACCACCGCAAGTATCCGGAGGTGACAGCCGCAATTAGTATTATGATCCTAACCAACGGGGTCACTGTCGACCCTTCATACTCCCAGTTTGCGCATTGAGTCAGCAAGATTGAAGGAATTGTTTGTGGCATGCATGGTTTCCAAAGTGAGAGTAAGAACATCGCGATCGGAATACCTGTCGTGGCAATGTACGCGGACAGACAGACCAAGACGACTATTAACTCGGCATAGTTGACTGCACCTACAAAAAATAGACATTTGCGAATTTGTACACAAAAGTATCTAACAATTAAACGTTTACACCTGCTTAAAGTATGTTTTAGTTTTAACTATGCCGTACCAGTTGATTGATTGATTTTTTGTATTCATCCAACCCCCCTTCGTGCATAATTGCCCACAGTGGTGCATATAAGATATTTATAAAGTGACATTATGACAAATAGAGTTCGGTTCAAATAGTGACATATGTATCTCATGACATGCATATTTCCATACTAAAGTACATTATTGTGTCATTACAGATCAGATAAGCCTCATACTTTGTTTGTTTTAACAAGTCCGGAATTCCTACATGGACAAAAAGCAACTTGCAAGTGGACTATCATGGAACTCTGTCCAAAGTTGTTTCAAATCTCAAAATTTTCACGATTAGTTGAGAAGATTGACAGGTTACAAAATTTAGGTATCGTGGACTATAAAGAGTTGATTTTCTTGAAAAATTTACCTTCTCGTTGACATAGTAGTTCCACCCGACAATTAATCTTCATTAGTGCCGCTGCTTCTCCTTCTCTCCAGTAAAGGACCAAAGACCCAAAAAAGATAAGGAGTCCCATCCCAATAAAATAGCACAGCATGACCAACCTCCACTCCTCCCCTTCGACACCATGGAAAGTGTGCCAGTGGACAAAGTACGTGAATAAATGCACAACTACGTTCACCAGGGCGGCCTTATGAACTAAATTTTGGAATGGGTGGTACTTTTCATGGATTGACAATCCTGTAGAGGGGTTTTTGGTGACGAGTAAGTTCAGAATGTGTGACCAAGTTACGAGACACAAAACGTCGCTGATTTTGAACATGTAGCTGGAACGGAGCTGGGCGACAGAATTAATGATTTGGGATCGTACCTTTGAAATAAATTGATTACGTGGGAAATTTGTTTGAAATGACATGATGATCTTCGCAACACTGGTGAATGGCCGGAGTTTAGAATGCTTTCACAAATTTGGTGGAGTGTCTACTTAATTTTGTTCCATGTCCAGAATTTTCAAGGATCCAAGTTCAGTTACTAGCTATTATTTTCGACCACTTAGGAAGGCGTTCAGTACAACGTGGGGAATGGTTTTGTTGGTAGCTCATACTCCTCATTTCAGGAAGAGGTGTAAAAATTTGCGTGAAAAGGCTAGGGCTGCTACCTAATATTACGGAGAGCTATGACTGCAAATTAGTAGACGATGGTAAAATATTGGCAGATTATGAGAGGCTTACCCCGCTGCAGGAAATTTGGATGGGGTCTTACGTTCCTTCAAGCAGGAGGTTACGTTACTTAATCCCAACCAGAAATTTGCCTCACCCTTCATTAAATCCGTTTGATGGCAAGACCTCCACCTCCATGCCACTGTACATGGCAGCAATATTGGTGAAAACAGGGAGAAATGCGACGCTCATTTTACAGCAAAGTTGGTACGATGATCCCCATGTGGAGGTGGAAACCAACTTATATATTTTCCACACGGAAGGCATGCTTTCGGAATACACTTATTCTACCGGGTTCCAATTTCTGAGTTGCTATGCTGATTCCTATATAACGTTTGATTTCTACGTGACACCATTCCAGCCGGGAGTGTGGCTTGGTTTGGTATCAAGCCTGCTTTTGACTTTTATGGTTCTATCCGCCTACATGTTCTGGAAGCATAAGCGATCCGCGATTGGGTTATTTTTGTCTTTCCTATCTTTATTTTTCGATGACTTCACTCCAGTCCCCAAATATATGGCAGATACGTTTTTTTATCGTATCTTATTCACCGCATTGGGATTTGTTGCTGTTTTGGTAACGAATTGTTATACCGGAATAATGATAACGGAACTGAACGCACCGTTGAAGCAATCACGGCCGGAAACGTTCCAAGACTTGATATGTCAAGATAGAAATATTCTCAACGGCAACGACTCTCAAGATATTGCGAGATGGGCAAAGGATGCAAATCTAGATTTATATTGGGGAAAGTCGAATATAATGAAACCAAATAATCCAAATATTTTTGGGTAGGATAGCTGCTTTAGAATGCTTTCAACCCCGACTCAAACCCCATCTAGCGCAACCTATAGCTGGTATACGCATTTAATTGCCACATATTCCCTTGATATCAAAAAACTACTAAAGGAATTTCAAATCAATAAGGAAACTACTGCAAAAATTACCAAAGCCGGGCTATTCTACGTCGTTCTTTTGAATCCAGTCCACAACTTTCTTCCCAGCGGTTTCAATTTCACAAAGAGAAAGCACACCACGACAGAACTACAAGAGTTGGTGGAACGAGATATTACCATTTGTAAGGAAAAAACTGTCCTCATAGGGACGACGGACCAAATTGAGGGAGAGATGGATTTTCTTACTAAAAGTTACCCATCAAAGAAATTTTATTCTGGAAGCGACCTTCTGGAAGAGAAACGGTCTGGATGGAAATTTCTTGGTGGAGGTAGGAGTCCAGTATCTAGAAGTATATCTCCCGTTCATCAAAGATTTAAGGCTCTGGTTCATTCCGGGATTTATTCAAGATTGAAGAGGGAAATGGCAAGAAATATGTGGAAACGGAGAAGACCAGTGGTACATCCTACAGTATTTCATCGATGGGTATGGATGGAAAACTTGTGACACTTTTTATGATCTCCGGTGCTCTATTTTCTCTAGCCTTGATAGTCTTTGCGGCCGAAGTTCGTAATTATGCTTGGAACTTTGTGTCCTTAAAAGTTTATCTGATGTTCCATTAATGGCGTGGAAAACTGTAATTTCATCCGCATTTCTCTGCAAAATAATCATAAGGAAAGTAAATAAGTAAAAATTTAAAAAAGGGTATCTTTGGTAAGAGGCGCACTTATTTAGAATAATAAATAAATAGAACGATAAACCTAAAATTAATTTCACCCGATATACATTCAGCACTCTGTACCTCCCGATTTGCAGTTTCATAATTGTGTCTTTATGTATTACTATATCTTTCATCTCCATTTTATCTCCATTCATTGCATGCATTGCACAAGTACAACAACAATGTTCTACCATAGGTGAGACATTCGACTATATACTATATAAAAATATAACTATGTATAAATAAAAGGAAAAGTATATAGTAAACCTTCAAACAGCATAATATTCCGTTATATGAAATCAAGATAATAATATCAGTCCGGGTAATAACCATGATTATTCTGTGATTTTATTCCATCCAGTGTTGCATATTTCCCGTCCAAAACACTTTTTCCCAGGACAGTGGTTTAGACCAACTTTTGCCCACTGGGCAATTGGACAAAACAGAGCGCCACCTAGCGGTATGCAGGGGCGCCATCTAGTGTAATCTGCATAAGAACTTCGTTTTGCCCACTTTTTTCCATTCCCCACTGATTTTGGTTTGTGGGAAAAAGTGTCTTTTTCCCACTTTTTCCTACCGTCTGGCAAAAAGTGGTTTAAACCACTTGCAACACTGATTCCATCATTAACCATTCACATCATTCTTTTGTCATTCACTCGCTTCATTCTTTGTATAAAATCTCTCCATTCCTTCAGGAAGCTTCATTATCTTCTATCCCTCATCGAGAATGACGTTTCAAATTTTCATGAATGAGTCGAGCCGATTATGCACATAATCAGCCCTTTTCATACCTGAATGATTCAGGTGCATCACTGGTGTTTTTAAACGGGAAAGGCTAACTGTGTGCCAATTCTTAGAACGTTTTTTTATTAATAAAACTCACCTATTAAAAAAAATTTATTTCCCATAAACCTACACACAGATAGTATTACATTAATTCCCTGCTTCTAAATTTGTAAATTAATTCGTTCCAAAAATAGCTAAAAGTAATAGACACATTTCGCCCCGAATTACACCCGGCGTCCATAACACGAGCCAAAAACACAGGCTAAAATGTGCCTGCTAATTTCTGCAACTCTCCTCCCTGCCTCCTCACTTCCAAGGGCTGGATTAACTTCGGCCAGTTCAAAACCGACAATGTTGGCAGATCGGTACAGGTCTTCAATCATTGCTAGAGCTTCCCTTAACGTCAGGCCCCCTGGAACTATTCCCAGAAAAATACAAATTTAAACAATTTTCCATCCTCATCATCAACCCACTGAGCGAACCTGGGGTTCCGGTCGTGCTCCCTATTTCCATATCGTCCAACGAGTCAATATCCATCGAGACGTATAGTGGTCTCGTCTTCCCCTTAATCCTGTCCAGCGTGAGATCGACCACCCTCCGAATTCCGTACCGGTCAATGTCACGCATCGTAAAGGAAGCCATGCCTAACCTATCAATAATCGCAGTTTCCCCAGGGTCCACGTCCCGCAAGGCGATGTGGGCCACGTTGGCGGCGGGTATTCTAAAATATTAAAATTAAGTGACATATTTAAATCAAATATGACTCAACTTTTTTCTCCTACCTAGCCGCCACCCAGGAGAAATCGGTCAAATTGGAATTACAACCGTACAACTCGTTAATCACGAAGGATAGCGGCATCCCGTGCATATTTCCGCTGGGGGAAGTGTCAACCGTATTAATGTCTGCGTGTGCGTCAATATAGATCCCGGCCAGGTCTGGGTAATATTCGGACATGGCGCTCAACGTGCCGATGGCCAAGGCGTGATCTCCCCCGAATGTGAGGGGGAAACGGTTCTCCTCAAGTATTTGCTTGGTGTTGTTGTATATCTTTTAAAATATGTAATTGCTTTTAATTAATTGAAATTAAATATAATTATGTGCTATCTGAATTTGGAAATGTCCTACACTAAAAAAACTATCTTACATGATGTGTCGCTTCCCCCACGTCGGCGGGGTCGTGAATGCTCACATTCCCCCCGACTGACGCCGCATTGAAGATTTCGCCCAAGTGGATGTTTCCATAGTCGAGAATATCGTGCCCTACGTCTTGCAGAAATTCAACGATACCAGAACTGCGGATTAGCATGGGTCCATTCTCAACACCCTTTTTGGGCTAAAAATTACATTTTAAATCTTAGAAAACTGGTCACTTACACTGGATAAAGTTAGAATATGTAGATATCCGCTACCTGTCCTTTTTGTATCGGGGCTCCCTGAACACTAATTCTTCTCAATTTTACCTTCGCCTCTTTAAGAAGCACCAAGGAATTTTCCAAACCTAGAAAAATATTACGAAGTTTACTAACTTGATTAGGAATATTTATCTACATATACACATACACACCTATGTAATTAATTAACAACTATTGAAAACTTGCTTAGAGGAAAGTACGCACTTATTACACATAAAAATTTTAAAGTTATTATTTTCTCCAACTATTTTACTGCTTTCCGTCCTAGCATTACCCATTTTTAGCAGAAATTAATTCTGAGAATTAGATAACATGAAAACGTCATAAAATATTTCCAAACACAATGACCATGTCTGTCATCAAATTTTACATAAATGAAATTAATTCTAACCGGAAATCTCTACAGGAAAGTGTTAAAATATGCATGTTAACAAAGTTTTCCATATTTATCAATTTTTAAGTTTGTCGACTTTTATGAGGGCTGAGCATTTTCCAACCTTTTTCCCAGGACAAGGGATTAAAAGGGTCCTTTTGTTTTTATGCCTCATTAGAAGGGACACTTCGTTTGAGCATAACCCTGCGTAGTTTGTATGGTCACTTCTGACCACATATTATTACACATGTATGAATGTCTCCTATGTACTGTCAAAACCTTAAAACCAAGTTGTTTAATAAAAATCACCATCAGTCTAAAAATATCTTCCAGCGAGATCATTTTTACTTTCAGAAAGATGTATCATCTCAATGAATAAAAAACATTTATGATTCATTTATTTAAAACCCAAACACAATTGACTTTCACCCTACCATTGGTGGTCACGGTGGGTGCTGCTTTCGTGGTGAGGGCCGCAATTGTGGTGCACTTCCACGTTGCCTGGGGCGGTCTGTGTCGCCGCACCCATTTATGGGGTGGTGGTGAGTGGATCGTTGTTGTCGAAGGTGGAGGGGGATGACAAATGCAAGAGTCTGACGATCCGTCAAGTCGGGTTGTCACGACAGACGTACCAACAGGGCTGCATCGCCCTGCAAATCAATATTCAAGACATAAGTTTTTATACAGAGAATTTATTTAGACTGTTAAATTTTTAAATTATGACCTCATAGAACTTATCTAACCCACATTATGTAACAATAATATATATTTCGCTTACTATGGCTCAAATATAAACTGTCGCTTAAACTCTCGGACACCAGGAGGACCAAGGAGATTGCGAAAATTTCAAAAAGCGTTATCTTCATCCTTCTTATATTTATTTTAAGTTTATCCTTCCCAACTTCTCTCAAGTTACAAGTTTTATCAAATGAGGGAGGAAAGTGAATACGATGCATGGAAATATGACGTGGAATGACATTAATTTTCACATGTTCAATTTGCTAACGTCTGCAAGATTGAGGACAAGTGCTGCAAATAATCGGATTGATGACGCAACTGTCGGCTTATTCCGTAAGACGGTTGGCCATAAGTATGAGACTCATACGTTTTGGATTACAGACATGTGTGAGACGTGATCCTTACGATTAATAATTGAGAAAAATAAGCTTAGGAAATGATTAGTTTATTTATTATTCCATTTGACTAACAGTTAAACCATATCCGAATTAAGAACATATTAGCAATCTGCAAATGAACATATTTAACATAAATGGCTGAGTAGACGAGTCTCTGACAAGTCAATGCATATCTAGTAATGATGTGACAGCGTCTGGCCGTGGGCAGACACAGGCCGCATATAAACTCTATGCGAGTATGCGACGTGGTACGTGAATGCCTTTCTTTGCTATGCCTGCCATGTAAAATAAAGAATTATAGGGATGCGTTCCGACAGAACTGGGTAAATATATAAGTTAGTTATACTTATATTAAATTTGTGTTTTCAAAGTTAAATATTATGACTGTTATGTTATTCCACTTTTAGTTTAAATATTTAAATTCCTGCTGTTAAATAGGTAAGGCGTTTTAAAGTGTTACGTAGAATATGCAATACACTGGGCCTTAATATAAGAAAATGTTAATGGAGATTTTACGATTGATTTATAAAAATTGAAACAACCTATAAAAATTTCATATGCAATTCGTCTGTATGCTGGTTGAGGAAATTACGCAAAATTTTAGTAGTTTCTTACCATTTAGAAAATAAATTTTATAGTGTCAGAAATAAATAATACTCGATCATGTATATCTAGTTATTATTATATCTATCAGTGTAAATTGTGGCGCCTGGCGGCGCTCCGGCCACTGGCCAGCCTGCCCACCTCTAAATAGTTTAGGCCTTGATCCCATGCACTTTTTCATAACTCAGGTATACCAATAACATATCCAAAAGGCATAATAAAGGTCGTACGTATCCCTTCATATCTCACAGCTTGGTTCAACCCAACCAGCGTAACCACAACCTAAAATAAATTAAACCCAGACTATTTTTAAAATAAATACAAACCCTCCGCTTGCCCAAATTTACCCTACAAAACACACTCCCAGAAACAAAGGCGTTCAACCACAATATCTGAGAATAAAAGGACCCTTAAAAAGTGATAGGATTAAATCAGGAATTTGAAAGCTCAAGCTATTTTTATTACGGAGGAAAAAAGTCTCATAAAAATTCCAACTCCACAAATTCCAACGCCATTTCTCTTCCAAACTTTATCCGAGTTGGTGAAATCAGTCATAAATAAAACACTAATTTACACTCCAGCCAGTAATTATCTAAAAAATGTCATCAATACCGCAATTCTCTGCACCACAAGATCTTCCCAACACAATCATTTCCTACGAAAGATTACGAAATTTCACCTTATTAAGAAAATTCAAGTCTGTCGATGCCATCTGCATCTTGGCCAGTGCCAGGTTAATAAATGTAAAAGATACCGCTGTCGTGGTGACAATTGAGGATACGGTCTACCAGTTCGGAGAAGATTGTGATGGATTACTGTATTTCACGGAAATTCAATCCTTGAGTGCACGAAGATTGAAAGGTGAGGTTTCATTTTCTAGAATAAATGCAAATTTTGGGAGACAGAAATACAAAAATTTATTGCATACCCAATAAATAATTCCGGAAATTCAGCGAGAAGCTAATTTTGGCGAGCAAAATTTTTTAGCTGGGTGTTTAATTTTACTCAACTCCCCATCTAGATGTCGTGTTCGGCCGGGAGTCAACATGGTTCGGAATTTCAGACGATGGCAAAGCCTACGTCTGGGGTGGAGGTTCTCACCTTGCCCCAACGCATATTCTTCAAAATCTCAAAATAATCCAGGTAGACGCTATGGGTCATCAAATAATCTGCCTCACATCCAACGGACAGGTTTGGATTAGCAGAGATCCGCTCACAGAGTTTCTGAGGATCCCGCAAGAAAATTTCTGCGGGGAAAGCATCGCCTCAGTCACGTCGGTTACCTGTGGGTCTAGTATAACTGGTGTGGCTCTTAGCGCTAAAGGGGTGGTGAGATTTCTAATAATTTGACTTTGCTTACAACTTAGGGGGTGCATTTGGGTGTTAAAAACCAGCACAATAATAAACACCAAATGCCAAATACGTTCAAATACAAAAATTTAAATAAATATCCGAAAAATTTAAAATCTGACATTAAGACTAATAACATATAAATTCTACTAGATTTTCGCCTGGGATCAGGCGCTAGATGTTCCACCATCTCCTGTAGCTGCGTCCCTGAAGCCTAAAAATAGTGCTTCATTTGTGAAGGTCGAAATTTAAATATTTATCACACTGTAACCGAATTTATAATTATTCCCAATATCTTAATCCCAGATTGCAGGTGCATTCTCTTGTTCAACGGATGGTGAAATTTTCGGCCTTTTTCGAGATGACCATGGAAAAAGCTTTTCCTTAGCCCCAATCGAAACACCGCCGAATATGAAGCCCATCTTAAATTTCGCGGTTGATCCGATCCAAGAGCAATTTAGCAAGTCTCCACGGGTTATACAATCCTCAAACGGCACGGTCTTTGTGTGTTCCAACTATCAACTTAAAGTGATGAAGCCAGATCGATCGTTTCAAACAACTGTTGAAGATGCCTATGTTGAATTTTATGGATGGAAGGAATCCTGCGGAACAATATCGTCTCAATGGGACATGTCCAAGTATCTGCAGTACACCAATTCCGAAGGGGTACGCCTAAACGATAAGGTTAGCAAGCTTACCGGGATGTTCCCCAAGTATATGGTTGCAACCAAACGAATTTACTACATGCATTTTAATGTGTGTTGCAACCTTATATTTGGTGAACACCTAAGTCTAATAGTTATTATTAGCTTTTCGTAAATATTAGTATGTAATAACAATTTTCCGTTCAATCCTATTTTTAGGAGACCTGCGATGTTACTTTTATACTAGCCGATGGCACCGTCCATGCCCACAAGGAAATTCTCAGACGACGACTAGTATACTTCGATAAAATGTTTAGCAAAAATTGGGCTGAAGATGGGCAAAGGTAAGGTGTTGCTAACAATAGAAGCTTAAGAAGTTGTCGGCCCCTATTTTATCAAACTGGTCTCAGAATCCATTAGTCATATTCTGAAAAAAACACTGCTCCTGGGACTACCGGTAAATGGTCCGAAGGCGTACATATTTCAGTACACATTTGATAAATAAATGCCGTTGAGTAGTACAAGAACCTTGTTTATATCCAGTAAAAGCTATATAACTTGGTAAATTTACCGCTACGTAAGGACAACTACCCAATGCTAGTTGTACCGGTAGAGTCACACATATTTCTATCTCGTGGTAATAACATTTTTCCATATATGCAGAGAAATCCATATACAGGGTGTGACGTTCGCATCGTTCTACGCCTTGCTGTATCACTGCTATACGTATAAAATTGAAATGCCTACTTACGATTGGGAATCACCTGCTGGTATGTTCGTCAAATTAATTGATAATGTTATAGCCATAACTATTTCATTATTTCCAACAGATTTGGCACGAACTGCGATATTCTACTGTGACGAACTTCTTAAAATCAAGTTGGAAGCTGTTCTCCTAAATGAAATCAGTTTTACAAACGTTCTCGAACTTCTAGACCTAGCCATTACCCTAAACTACGAGGTAGTAAAACTTTTGCTTAAACTGTTTTACCAAAACTAATTTTTTTTCATTTGTGTATTTCCAGATTGTAGGACGCCACTGTGTGAAATTCATTCTCAAAAATAAACCCCAAATATTAGAATCAGCTAGCAAGAGAGATTTCGAAAATATCGGCATCGGTACGCTTCGATTTAGGATGGAAGAGTGAAACAAAGGCGACGCTCACGTACGTTAGAAAGTTTACATAGGAACATATTCTATAAATATTTATTTATTCAATAATTGGGCCTTATTTCAAAGACCGAAAATTCTCCATTGTATAGGTGACTTCAGCTTACGAAAATAGTATATGCGTTGGAAAATTTATATTACATATAAGATTCCCAGAAGAAATAAATAAGTTATACATCCAATAGATGAAGCACTAAATACGAGATTGTTACACTCCAGAAAAAAAATTGTTAATTTGACAATAAAAATATGTATTTGGACGCCACATTGTACATAGGTGGTTCTAGAAGTTGACGAGAATACCCCAAACAATATTTTGTATGTAATGATATAATGTGGTTAGTAAGGTAATTTTTGCGAGTATAATTTACATTTTTTAAACAACAGTTAATTTTCTACATAATACATAATCAGTAATAAGTATAATTACGTAAGTTTAGCATTATTGATATGACAATTCAGATACTTTAACAAAGAGCGTGCTTAGGAAGTAGGGAAAATTACTCTATAAATGCATGTAAAAAACGTAAACAATAAGTATAGCAAATTAACGACAGGATAGTTTTGTGGTAAATTTCATAGCCAACAAGGATCAGCAAACCAGAAGTCTGAATTCCAAACGTTTCCAAAATTCTTGGTCAAATAGTGGAGAAACTGAGCCTCTGCCACTACTACGAAAATGTGCTGATGCTTACAGAAGTTGACTCACAGTAACTTCAAAAGTAAAGGAATTCCAAAATCAACAATCTGCGAAGTTGTTAATAGGTCTGAGGAATCCGGGCTAGCAAAATTAAGAAAAAATTTTGAATTAAAATTAAAAATTAAAAAATCACCGGTTTTAAAATTCTACCATTTTATTTTGTTTGCATTTAAATTCATCACGACGGCTTTTTTTTCTTTACCAGGAGTACAACTTTAATACAAGGATATAATTTGGATCGATGGGGAAGTAGCGGCCTCGTCATCTATCACGAAAATTTTTGACGACCTTGACTCGACGCGTTTTTCAGAAACCTTGCGACAATTGATCTTTGCTCTTGTTTTTAACACAGTTGACAAAGCGTATAAAACTCTACCGACACTTCCGGATAGGAATTTACCCCGATAATTTAAGCTACTACCGTCAACTTTGCACTATATAAAAGATAAGAAGTTGAGGAACAATTCCTACTGTGGTATTTGTGCACCACAATTCGACGCAAATCAAAAATTTTTTTAACCATTTAACCTTATTCTGCAATTTAATAACTCCTTCAGTTCGAAGGAGTCGAATTTTGGTCTCATCGGCGAACAAATTTTTTTTCCAAGTCTTATAATCGTATTTTGCAGTTTAAATTTAGTATGATAGTCAAAATAAATTCTGTTCCTTTTTTTTCCATAAAACCCACAATATAAATATGCACCTACAAAAATTAAATTAAGATTGTAGATTAAGTGGATTAAGGCAGAGATGCTTTAATCTACAAAATGCTTATTCGAATATTAACAAGATCAGATTTGGATACAATTTTGTGTCAGCACTTGTCTCCCATATTTACATATGTATTCAAAGCGTACGTATATTCCATATTAATAAATATCTGATAAACAAATTTTCGTGCCTCACCTAAGAAAAAAGCTCAAATTGCAGGGCATTTGCCTGCAAGTCAAAGGCAAAATGGTATTCATACGGGATGGGGCCTTTGCCGATTTCTCGGATGTTCCCTTGGGCAAACCCTTTATCGTTGCCCCCATCCCCCAGGCATTTGCATTTGGTTATTCATCCCAGTGCATGTCATTGCTTTTAACTAAAGAAGTTTATTAATCTAAATTATTCATAGTTCTGCTAAGGCTGTTAAAATATTTATTTGACTGTGTTGGACCAACCGTGCATGCCATGCCTTGATATGACATGTAATGTTCGTGCTGACAAAAAAGCTATGTTTCGAAAGCATGTTTTTACTTAAGCAGACTTTTAGCTTATCAAAATCTATTGCTTTTTCTGGTTCGTTTTAGTGAAAATTAAAACATGGTAGATTTATAGTTCGTTGCTAGATAGCGACTACTAAAAAGCAATAGCAAAAAAGCACAACAGTAAAAAACTATTTTAATGTACTTTGTGGGGTGGCTAAGCTACCCATAAATAGAGAGCCCAACCAGAGGCGGTAGAACATTAAAGGCTAATTAACGAAAAAAGCCAGATAAACTATGTTAAGTGCAATTACGCATTATTCACAGCCTTCCGTGCTTTCTGCTTTTCAGCGAACACTTCGGCATGGCAGCCTTTCGAGAGAATTTCCGAATCACAATATCATACCGGGAGACATTTCTAAATTTCTTGTAAAATATGTAATGCCATTTAAATATGAAAAACGAGGCAAAAATAAGAACATATTTTTCAACATTTCAAAATTGCATGAAAATGATAAACTGTATACCCGGCACCAGCTTCTGACAGGATCTTACGCTGGTATCCTAATCCGAATTTCGGCATATCAGTTCGAAAAGCATGAAAAATTAATTTAAATAAATTCAATACAACCTGTCAGATTCTATTTTAAATATATCACCAAATTCACCCTATAGATATCCCGTAATTCTATAATGTCATAATTTATTATGGCCAACCCTAAACAGTGTCCGCTTGCTATATTACATAGTTACTCTCTCTGTGTTACTGCCAACTGCCGAAACTATATGGGATTTATTTCTAGAATTATTAGAATGCTATGTGGGTGTTGATTGATACAAAATTAGTAAGAAGAATGGTACAAAGATTCTGTGGTGGGATGACAAAGAGTGCAGGCATATTTTCCGTGGAATTTTATATTTGCCCGAACCGAGAGATTATGTACCCGACGTGTCCGTCTATCTGTATGTGAAACGGTAGCGGACGCTTAAATGACAAAACCCTTAACCGGTTTTGACCAACATGATCTTAAAATGACCGTTAGGGCAAGGCCTTTGATGAGTTCGAACATTAGCAAAATCGGTTGTGTGGTTGACCGGGGTGGGTCATATATGCGGTGGGGGTACTATGCACCAAAATTTCAAGATGGTCGTAGAAAGCTAAAATTTGGAACATTTTCCAAACCTAAACTAACCCTTGGTTTGAGGATTGATGTCGGCTTGTCATGAAAGGATATGACGTAAAGTTTATAAATTTTTCAACCGGAATGACCATAGGTTTTGTTCGATTTGATTGTATTAAATTTGATTGTATTAATCCGAAATTCATGACAACTAGTCGTGTTATGTTACTCCGAATAATTGGAAAATCTTTGAACTAAACGTCATATAATCGGACGATTTCCTTGGTTCGGGCTATGCAAAGCTGTACTGAGAAGTTTTAAAAATAGCAAAACAACAAAAAAGCGTGCATTTTGCTATAAGCAAAAAAACCGTTTTTTTAAGCAAAACAGTAAAATAGCAAAGTAAGGTTGCTTAGTTGCTTTTTTCCTTGGGCGAACACTGCTGTAGTTGTTTCGTGACGGATACGCCTTATTCCTACAACCCTAGTTTAAATAAATATTCTTACACGCACGGTCAACCCGAAACAATAATTCAAATAAGTTTACATAAATATGTACATATGTAAATATCTAAGAATATGATTCTACCGCAAGTCTATAATAAACGAAGTTGGAACCAGGATCTTATATTATTCTTGATCAATACCGTTGCCACAAAAAAATTCCGTAGTTGCTGGAAATTTTACCAACATGATATATTTCAAATTGAAAATAACATTACTTGATAAAAGTCCATGCTTGGTATTCTAACCATCGTGGTATTGAGGGCTAACCGTGTATTTTAGTAACTGCAGTACCAAATCCGGCTCCGTTGTTGGAATGAAATTTATTTTGTGATTGCGATAGTTCCAAGTTAAGCTGCCCACACCTACAAACTCTGTTTGGTGTATGTGCAATAGTTTTTAATAAAACCTTTTTTATGCTCATTAACAATATCATAAACACCCAAAGTTGCAAACAATTAGACATTTTTTTCAATACTCTATCAAAGAAAATATTTAAGAGTTTGACGCTAAAAATTCAAAAACCTCCCAAATCGTTGCATTATTAGTGAAACATTAATCAAATTCTGATACATTTCTTTGCTTTCCACAAATGGAAAAACCCAACAACTAAGCACTAGTAAATTCCCGTAGTAATAGACTTATGTACAATATCAAAACCTTAGTTTTTTACTTACTTAAAAAAAGTGATTGAGGAATTTCCTTCTGATTCTTAGTGTATCTTTTAATCTAATATTTCTAAAACATTATACTAATTCAAAATTCAATATTATCCTGGTCATGACACGCGATGAATAATGTTAAATAATTAAACGACGGCACTTAGCGAAATGGAATAAAATACACACTTAAGATAATTTAGCCTGAATTTCAAATTTAAAAAATGCCTATCATAATATCTTATACGATACTACTATTTTTCTTCATGGGGACCTCTTGCCAAGTTTGGAACGCAAAATCAGACCTCGTAATTCCTGGTGATTTACTCCAACATGTAAAAAATTGTGACATCGTAATTCTACGTGACAATATTTCCTCTGATTACTTTTCATTCTTGAAGGGAACTGATCTCCCTTCCACAGTAATGCTAATGCCAGCCTTTAAAGATACAGGGCTTGTTAGTATTAAGGTTAGCATCACAGAAATCCCTTATGCCCTCAACGTTTTCAACAGCCGTCCTGGCCCAAACAAAATCGTCATTTGGGTGTCCACTTATCTACTTAGCGAGTCAGATATTAATCGTGAATATCAGCCGTGTCAAGATGGTGTAAAAAAAATAAATGTGCATCTAACTATGGAGACTGGTTAATACTTTCCACTCTGAAGCATTACACACACCGCTGTAAACAATGTCATTTTAGGCATGGTCGTGCTGGCTGGGAGTGGCTACGGTCCACAAAACATGTATATTCGATAGTACTCTCCATGTCAAATATAGCCAAGACATTGCAGACCTTAAAGCTCTCTCCGATTGTAGAATTCGAAAACTTTTTCATCGCAATTATTCCTTCCAAAAAGACTTCAGTTTTTCAGTTGTGCATAAAAAAACCAGGTATAGCAATGCTAACTAGAGACAATTATATCTGCAAAAGTAAAGATAACTTTATGAAACATTATCAAACATTGGCAACCGTGCCATCAACTTGGGTGGGACATTGCGAAGTCCAGTATAAAAAGGAAAACCAAAATCTACCACCCCCTTCAGCAAATCCTTTTGATATAAACTTACCCATAGATATTCCAGTTTATATGGCCGTGATAATCGTCTCCAGGACAAATGCTACATTAACCTTAACTGATAACTATCGTACACGTGAGACTAATTTGTTCATTGAGAAATCTGAGATCCTTCTGGATCACAATGACGAACTCAGCGAGTTGGTTTCAACATCAGGTTTGCAGTTCTTGAGCTGTTACACTGAACCATATATGACCTTTTACTTCTACTTAATGCCGTTTAAGCCTGAATTGTGGCTTTGTTTATTTGTCAGTGTAATCCTGAGTTGCTTAATTATATCGTTATATTCGTGGAAAACAACCAGCGGGTTCTCATTTTCTGTTTGGTTATCATTAATTTCTCAATTGTTCGATGACTGGGCACCATTACCAAGACTTATGAGGAACACCCAAGTTCTTCGCCTAATATTTATAGCATGGGGACCTGTAGCCGTTTTATTAACAAATTGTTACAGTGGACTGATGATATCTGAATTTAACGCGCCTAGGAATAAAGGCCCACAAACGTTCGATGACTTAATCTGTCGTAATGCTCACCTTCTTGATGGAGTCGTCGCAGATGGATTCTCAAAATTTTTAAAAGATTCAGATTCGGTAATGAAATACATTACTTTTTGGAGATCACCATCCAGTTTCCCATTCCATGCAAATAGTGATTGCTACAGGTTACTCTCCCCTATAAGCGATTCGACTAATCTTTTCTTCTTTTTACCTACTTTTGTATTCACGCAGTTCATAAGCAACGAAAATTCGGAAAAACTATTCACAAAAAAGATAATCCATCCCGGTTTAACTAGGGAGGATCTGCTTTTGCTTATTCTTACAAATCCAGGTCATGCCTTTGAACCGCTAGGATTTCATAGAACAAACTCAGAATACACTACCTCCGAAGTTCTAACTTTAGTTGAGAAGAATATTGTCAATTGCAACAAAAAGAGTGCATTTATTTCCACTTTAGAAGATGTCCAGCACGAAAAAGAGTATCTTTCTAGGAACTATCCATCTAAACACTTCCGATCAGGACACTCTCCAATTTTTAATGCACGCTTTACATGGACGTTTAAAGGCGGAGGCAGATATAGGGGTACGTATAGTATTTCACCCGTGCAGAGAAATCTTCAAGCTTTGATCAATTCAGGGATTTATTCTAGATTAAAACATGAGACGAAACTTCGCATGAATTTAAGGAGGGTTCCCGCTAAGAATGATACAGTTAGTAATGTTTCTCAGCTGACTAAGCAGGGAGGGATTGCAACCCTTTATATAATTTGTTCACTAATGTCATGTTTAGCATTTATTACTTTTCTAATCGAGTGCTATAAGTATAGATGGCATTTATACGTTATGTTGTTCATAATGTTATTTAGGATAGTCCGAAGATCAAGCCGACGCAATTATAATAAAACTAGACTAATCCAACTTATAGAAACAATTGCAACATGAATACAAAAATCAAGGGGGGAAAGATTCAAATGGTTGGGTTAGGATTTAATGGGTTTAAACGAATTTAATGGATTTAAACGGATTTAATTGATTTAATCAATTTTGGGGCATTGTGGGTTGCCCCCATATTTTCATAATAATTATTCACCGTCAATAATAATCAGGATGACAAAGATACTGTTAAGTGACATGATATTGCCAAATTATTAGGTATGATTTGAATTGCCACTTATTAATTGTAAAATCAAATGATTTAAAAAAAACATTCTACAATGCAAGCCATGGCGGCAATCACCCGAAATAAACTGGGAATTCATGTGTATGGGTGCAGTTCATACTTGCTAAATTTTTGTACTTTTGTTCGAACTTCTTTTTCAATTCCTGGAAATTTTATTTCATGGTATTTATCATACTAACAGTGTATCAAACTACCCCAAATTTGATTGATTCCATTAAATCCATTAAATCCATTAAATCCGTCCATTAAATCCACATGGATTAATCCACCCGAAACCCTGGTTAATGATAAAATAACAAATACTATGTTTTTACGAGAAGCATTGAGAACCTTAGGTACAAACATATTTAATATCTAGTGAATAAATTATTAATTAAAAATTACTAATTACAAAATTGTGTGAGAACAACGGATATACATTATTAGCCCGCCCTGCGAAGCATGGGAGCTAGTCGTGTCCGTCTGTCCGTCTGTCCGTCTGTCCTTCTGTGTGTTCCTATGTTTTCTCCGCCAATTGGCGCTTTACAATCTCCCCCGTTTTGATTTTAGACAAATATTTAGCTTAAATGATTAAGAAAAACCTCTCAGTACAGCTTTGCATAGCCCGAACCAAGGAATTTGTCACTTATTTTCTGTCAAATTATCCGATTATGTGACAATGAAAGATGAAATATTTGAAAATCAGTATGGGTCACCCCCCAGTGGTCCCTACCATTACATTTGTACACATTTTCACTTTATATTCTTTCATTAGTACCCATCAGAGACCTATGTGCCAAATTTCAACTTTCTAGGACAAAATTTGAAAATCGGTATGGGTCAGCCCACCCGGTCCCATTATATGAAATTTTTTCCAATTTCACTTCAAATTCTATCATTTGAAGCTATCAGGGACCTATGTGCCAAATTTCAAGCTTACAGAACAATATTTCAAAATCGGTGGGGGTCACCCCATAGGGTACCTCTGGGTGAAAATTTTCAAAATTTTAGTTCATATTCTTTCATTATATGCCATTAATGGCCTCTGTACCAAATTTCAGCTTTCTACGACCACTTTGAAATTTTGTTGCATAATACCCCCACCACCTATATGACCCCCACCGGTCAACCACTCAAGCGATTTTGCTCATCTTCGAACTCATCCAAGGCCTTGCCCCAACGGTCATTTTAAGACCATGTTGGTCAAAATCGGTTCAGGGGTTCGTTCGCTAGCGTGTCACGGACAGACGGACAGACAGACAGACAGACAGACACGACGGGTACATAAGCCCTTGGTTCGGGCTAAAAATGGAAAGATATTGATGCAAAATAATTGAGAAAATCAATGGACAAATCATCAATAGTGCAAAATAATTGGAAAAACTAGTCATCAAATTCTGACAAAAATTTGTAATTTAAATCAATACATATAATACAAAAATAGTAAAACTATGTATCTATTTTGTGCGGTTCTTCTGCACTGTTGGTGAGAAAAGACCAAACTATAATATATAATAGTTTGAAATTGATGTGAAATAATTGAGAAAATCAATGGACAAATCATCAATACTGCAGAATAATTGGAAAAACTAGACATCAAATTCTGACATAATTTTATCATCTAACTCAATACAAATAATACAAAATCGTTTTGCACCAACCGTGCAGAAGAACCACACAAAATAGATACATAATTTTGACTCGTTACACAATTTTGCGCCAATAATGCATAACTGGACTGGGCCAGCGATTTACAAAATTGTAATTCATTTGCACCAACGGTGCACCATAATAGCACCATAACAACACAGCTAAACAATATTGACCCTCTTGTACCAATAGTGCATAAAAATTGAATTTTGTTATACGAGAGTACAGGGCGAGCTATTTCTAACGCATGCTACGGTTTATTTCATGGTTTATTGGTGAATTATGTAGCCAAGAGATTCTATAAAATCTGTCAAGATTTGTTTTTTTCAAAAATTATTATAAACTAAATAAGTAATTTTAAAACCAACAATATTTGAATGTGTTTTTTGTCATTTTGGAACCAATTAAGGTAAATTTGAATAAATTTGAGGCAACCATGAGGGAATATTCGTCATTGTTTCGTTTCTTGCGGAAGGACCGTACTTCTTTTCAGTAATAATTGTGAAAGATTATAGTAACAAACCATTCACATGCAAATTTATAACATTGATGTAATTGACTCATAGAACTCCGGTGACTACAACAATGCATGTTATTCCAAAATATTGTGAATTTCTCAGGACCTAATAACTACACCTTACATAATCTGGTAGAAATACAAACAGCTCCTTGATTCTTGCATTGGTGGAAAGATTTCAATCAATCTTGTCCGATTCTGTCCAGGAGGTTAGAAGTTTATCCATAAAAAAATAAATTTGTTCCATTTATTTAATCTATTCAGGCCGAAAAGTTCGCAAATATTGGGACGAGATCACACTAGTAGTGAGGGCCAAAATGCAAATATGTATTTTTGTTCAGAAACATTGTAGGGTATGACCCATACTTATTGAGAAAGACCGATTAACTGCAATCAGTATTAGTTGTTATCATCAATCACGCGTGTTTGCGCACATTCAATTTTGCCATATACATTTTCTGCATGACGAACATTTTCTGCCCATATAAAGTTCCGCATTTCAGGATTCTTACCCCAAACGGAATTTCCAACCACTCCAGCCAAATAAATCCCTGGACAAAACGAACCATCGTACTTCCAGATGGCCAATGGTAACTTCGGATTTCTAAGAAGGACTAGGGCAATTCAGGGGCGAAATCTGGCCACAGCTTTTTATTATTTTATTTTGAGGGGTATGATGGGGGAAGAATAAATCAATAAGGTAAAGTTGAAAAAAATTACCCCCAACCACTTTTCTGGGCCAAGATCCGAATTTTCTGACAGGGCAGATTTTTCGGATTTCGGAGGGCTATATCTTTAAAACCCTGCCATTTACAATAAATTGTCCGAAAGGTAAAATGAAGGTACTTACTTGGGTTACTTAAAAAATATTATCTGGACCCGAGGGAATGTAACCAGTGAAAAATATGTAGCTAAATGGCAAAATCTCTCTGGCTATGATTTAGAGACGCCTGGAAACCGACATGGAGGTGAGAGAGCATCGTATAAAATAAAGACACTTATTTTTCCATATATTTTTCATTCTTTGCCAGCTTTGGGGATTTTTAGAAAAAAAACGGTGACAGGCCCACTGCGGGTTTTTTCTTCCATAATCTCTGGGATGGGTGTGGCTATGATTTAAAGTCGCCTCGAAACCGATATGGAGGTGAGAGAGCAGCGTATAAAATAAAGACTGTTATTTTTTAATATATTTTTCATTCTTTGCCAGCTTTGGGGATTTTTAGAAAAAAAAACCGTGACAGGCCCACCCCTTGATTTTTTTATATGTTATGCTCACATGACCTAGGTATGAAATAGGGTCAGTAGTTGGACCGAAATCGAGAACTAAGATACCATAAAAAATTAAAGATTTGAAACATTTCGATATTTCTTCGGAGAGATTTTGCCATTTAGCTACATATTTTTCACTGGTTACATTCCCTCGGGTCCAGATAATATTTTTTAAGTAACCCAAGTAAGTACCTTCATTTTACCTTTCGGACAATTTATTGTAAATGGCAGGGTTTTAAAGATATAGCCCTCCGAAATCCGAAAAATCTGCCCTGTCAGAAAATTCGGATCTTGGCCCAGAAAAGTGGTTGGGGGTAATTTTTTTCAACTTTACCTTATTGATTTATTCTTCCCCCATCATACCCCACAAAATAAAATAATAAAAAGCTGTGGCCAGATTTCGACCCTGAATTGCCCTAGTTCTTCTCCGATTTATCGGAATTATCGGATATTTAATTCTGGGGTCACGTAGGTTAATCAAAAATTATACAACTCGCCTACATTTCTCTAATAATAACACTATTTCGTCAATATTTTAGCAGTGGGACAACAACTCACCTGCAAAACTGAGGATGGCAACGTCTACGTGACCTGCGCCTTTCCTGTAGAACTGGACATCACAAAAGACAGTTTCTTAATGTACTACGCGAGAGAAGCTGATGTATTCACGTCCAGTTGCGAAGCGTTGAAACCTCTAGGTCTGGCTGGCGAGGAGTGGATTCCACTGAAGAGGTCAACTCCAGGAAATTTCAAAAAAATATTTATACTTGTACCAGAACAAAAGTTCGTCCCACAGGTTCGATGCCGGAGTCTAGTTGCGAAAGAGATTAAGTGGGATATCTTCCAGTGAGGGTAATTTTGGATTACGAGTAGTAAATGTTCAATATATAAAATTTTTTGTGGAAAATATTAGCTACTTTTTAATAATTTGCTACTTATGAATAAACTTATATTAACATCCTCAGTTAGTACAAATGTATTGGTATTTAGCAGAAGTAATAGTTTTTGGAATACAAGGAATGCCGATGCGTTCGTCCCATCGAACAAACATTTTTCAGGGAGTCAATAATTCATAGATTTTGCACGATTTTATAAATAATACGGCTTTTGTGTTCAAGTGGCTCCTATCAATATCGCGTTATTGTTTCGACGTTTGATACATTAATTTAGACAAGGTATTCTCAATTCTCAATACATTTTATCTAGTAGGTAAGAATCTTGTTGAATTTTCACTTAACAAGTATCCCCACTATTCTTATTTCTAGCTGCAGGAGACTCTATTTATAAACACTCACATAATTCGTTCATAAATCTAATAGTCATACATTAAACCATAGCACATTCATAGGTGTTCAGTAGTATATGCATATTGATGTTCTGTAGTCGCAGTTTTTTCAAAAAAATTTTGAACTTTTGGGAGCCGCAGTAATTGTTACTAGCCCGCCGGAGTCTCCGCTTTACACAAATATGAGATAACGACGTACGAAAGGGAGACTTATGATACCTAATTCTTGATGAAGTCCGTGTTTCTGGGTATTAATTGTAAATGACGTGGATAAGGAGGCTAAAGTAAGTCACTGAATTATCTTTTCGGATACGTACAACTATGGGTTGTTTGTAACAAGGCCTATTCTAAGCTACGGGAAACATCTGAAACTTTCAGAAAATTTGGGAACCGATGGGTTAAAATAAGCAATGAAGTTGCGATGTCTTCCGAAAAATCACAAATTTGAAACAAACAAACAAACAGAACCAATAATCGAGGGTATTAAGAAAAATTAAATACGAAATAGATAATGGATTGAAATTAAATTTGTTCATGAAAATAAGAAGGTAGATACTACTACTACATTCTTTACAAAAATAAAATTTGAATTTGAATTTTTAATTTTTTCAGGTCCAAAATTAAATTGTCTCACTCATTTCCGTCAGTTCTCTCGTTTATGTCCAAACATTCTCTTTTCAGTGACATATAACATTCTACAGTATTCTACAGTATTCTCTAAAACGTTTAAATGCTAGGAGGCTTCTTCTGTAGAGATTGGAGAAATTCATTAATTATTTTCCATTTTTCAAACTAAAACATAAAACCACAGCCTCTGAGTTGCTGGGAAAGTTGTTTTCGACCCTATGAGGGTCGGTAGAATATTCGGTAGAAAATATATAAGCAGAATTTAAGAAGGATACGTAAATATTTCATACCATCCGATCATTGCAACTTCATGTATTCAAAATACTTACGATTTGATCCAAGTAAAAATTTCATCAAACATTAAAGTTATAGTTACAATTGATGCTTTATAGTTTTGCCATGCACTTCCGCAGGTCACTGCGTCTAGCCACTACAGCTACTTTTTGTGATTTGACTCATCCCAATCCACACAACGGACTCTGTGGGAGCTCCAATCTTTGGCGTTGATAGTCCGTCTATCCGGGTTCACCAGAGAATTGAAAGGAGCACCCACCCCGTACAAACACGAGATGGATGCAGGATACGAGCCAAGTGGGTATTGGCAAGTTTCCCTGCCAGGATTCCAACCATTCTACGTGCGTGGTATTTTCGCCATGCCTACCCATTCTCACATATTTCCAATAACCATAAAACACCTGGATTCGGTCATTTATTAATATTTAATGTAATCCAAGATAAAAGGGAAACACATAATTTATTCATACCAAAAGTCACACCATATTTCATGAAGGCAAAACCAGTAAAAAGTAATATTTCTTCAACCGATAGGCTTTGAACAATTTTTATTCGTGATTCTTGAAATCTAGAAAAATATTAGCATCACAGTTTTCATTACAAAGATACACACTCCAGATAATCCTAAATATTTAACTGTCGCCACCGTTAATTTACTAATTTTGGTACCGAATCCTGTAACCCTTCGCGGAAATAAGGTTGTACATTCTGTCATTTTCCAGACAGAATTTACAAACCATATTTGTATACTTCTACTGTTTGTCAGCCTTTGACGTGAAATCAAATCCCCTGAGTCCAACAAATTTAATTTTCTCGACTAATCAAAAACGATGCAGCTTATTCCCACCATAGCAATCTTTTTCTCTTATTTCACAATTTCTCTGACAAAAAATCCCGAAATATTACCCGTGTTTCATCTCCTCCTGGACAAACTAGGACCATGCGACATCCAAGTACTGGCCGATGGATGGAGGGATAACATTGATTGGTATAATGTAATCCAACCCGTAAAAATTGTACATTCTCCATCCAATAACATCGTCGCTTATCGACAAATACAAATCAACGCGTTCAAATCAAGAGTTGCCACGCCGTGCCAGTTTGCCATTTTCCTCTACACCCGATATTTGGTTCCTGGCGACGAAAAACTTGAAACCCTTAACCTGTTTCCATGGTCAACTATGACTTGGAGTGGCCACATGTTCCATCAACAGCAGGGCATACCCTTTCAGAGGAACAATGTACTAATCACCATCGTCACAACGCAAACAAGCCTCCAAAACGCGTACCTCGAAATAGGCAGGATCACCATACTCAGCGTCCTGTTCATTTTGCCACACAACCCATTCAAAATATGCGCCTGGCATGGCGAAGGGGTGAAGATAAGTTGGAGCACTTGGATGTACTCTCTCTCTGAACACTTGTTTTGCCACGAAGACACCTCTCGCCCAAAGAAGAGCGTGTTTAGGGTTGTCGGTATTCTTGACGCCCCCCAGTATTTCAGAATTTTAGTAGAGTCAGGAATATATTTCCTTCTACGGGAGGAGGAATTCCGACAAGCTAACCTGGATCGTCTACCAGTTAGTAAGGTAGATGGGGAAGACTTGGCTCAACCAATTAAGTTGGACGGCGCAATTTCAACACTGTTAGTTCTATGTGGAGCTACAATTGTGGGCGCAGTGCTGGCATTCAGTTTGGAAAATATCTACAAACTTTATATCGTGATAAGAACTCTGTCTACAGCAGTGGGCAAATTATTATTTAAAATTTATTTTAGGTGTCGCAAGAAATAGATTTTCTTTCATATATTGCAACAATTTCTGGATTAAATTCCCTGTTCACTACACCCGCATTTGCGTCATGCTAATGAGTGGAAAGCTTCAAATGGAGTGAAACACTTTTAGATCACCACTTTTTCCTCGTTTCCAAACCCTTGGAGTTACAAATATCTTGAGAGATACTGGGTTTGGGGATATTTATGGCACATTCACCACAAATACTCTGGCAAAGGGTTAGTTTGCTGGGTTCATTAGAAAAGTACAATAAGCCTTCCTCTAAATTGGAGACACCTGCCCGCAAGATAAAAATAAAGTGCACTTTTCTGTATTTACTGACAAAAAGTAATCTCACGGCTCAACACCGTGACGTTAGTTATACTTTAGGCAAAACTATCATAAAGGCCTTGTACTTTCAATAATAAGCTTTTTTAAGACAATTGATCCACCCAAAATTAAATGATATGGTTAAATAATTTGCCCTCGGATCAGCAAATACGAGAAGATTCGCTAGCTAATTATCGTTAATATATATCTATTTAGGTAAAGTTGTCCTACCATAAACTTGTGTATACTTTCGACTTGATACCGAAGCTAAGAGTCTTTTTTTTGTGTTTCGAATAATATATGTACTGTGTGAAATATTTAGCTGCGCTTATTAAGTAATATGTCGCTGAAAGCTGGTATGCTCAGTTTGGAATCAGCAGCCAAATGCACACTAATGATACATTTGTAAAAAATAATATAATTGGTTGGTGAGGCGAAATCACTTCAGCATAACATCAAACTCATCTATTTTGCATTTCATATCTGCGAGAATGGAATTGGTAGGTTCGTTAGAAAATTTCCTTCACGGAGTTTGCTTATTCTCTAGCTGGAGAAGTTTACCGAAATCAGGGACTGATTTGTCACTTAAGTTATTACTTTTCTAGTGGCATTAATGTCATTATCCGGTTATCTGATATTTAAGAAACTGCCGGAAAGTCCTTGGAGCATCCGATAGTTTATCCTGTAGAGTAAAATACAGTCGTACAATTACAACATGTAATTATGTTTTGGATATTTGTTAATTCAAATTTGGCAGCCATTGATTCGTAATGTAGAAATCGCATTTTGCCCCGTAGTTGTACTTGTCGCAAGAATATTGCATTTTCTTTTTTGCCGCATGGTCGAGTAATATAGGAAAAGCCGCAAGTTTGGATAGAGTGGTCTATTTAATTGAGTTCTTAATAATTATTGTTAAGTATGTCGATTCTGAAATAAAGTAAGAAAGTTGTGTGTGAGTGTCAACTTCGGGGCTATATGTCGGCGTACAGTTAAATATTTAGTACATCAGTGGAACCAGGTCGGCTGTCATAATTCCGTACCTTCCCAAAATCACGACAGCTCACCAATGTGTAATTCTTACCACGGATAGTGATAAGGGCGACCTAATACGTAACGACCTACTTTTTCCATGATAAAATAAATATTGAAGCGTAAATAAATATTGTCTGACCTAAATGTGGTATGTTTGAAATTACTGGTCATGGTGCCATCGCATTGCCCTTTTAAAGAAATCGTTAACCACATCGTGGATTTAACATGTTAGTGTTATGCTTAAACTGTTCGGAATCTAGTACACATGGAAGACATTATTCTAAACAAGCGAAGTATGTAGATTCGTCATTGTTCCGGTTCAAATGCAAATATATATCATCAACTTAATTGATTCACTTGCCGCCGGTGACTGCATCGATGCAAATTATTTCTAAGTATTGCGAATTCCTCACGAGCTAATAAACAAAGCTTATAGAATCCGCTAGAAATACAAACATCTATTCAAATCCTTCATTGAGGGACACACTTAAATCAATCATGCTCGACTGGCATTCTGCTCAGGTTGACAATCCATAAATCAATAAATTTGTCCCACTTATTTAATCTATTCAAGCTGAAAACTTCGCAAATATTGGGAAGAGATCCACTTTAGTATTGAGATTGGGAATGCCAACATGTATTTTTTGGCATAAATGTCAGAGGGAATGACCCATTTCTATTGAGAAAGACCGATTTACTCGTATCAGTATTAGTTGTTATCATGGATGCTTGTTCATATTTAACTTTGCCATATATGTACATTTTCTGCATAACGGACATTTTCTTCTCATATAATGCCCCACATTTCAGGATTCCAACCCCAAACGAACTTATGGAATAAAATTGTTGACCACCAATGTTGGTCGCAAGGGAGGTTTGGGTGGGAAATTTTTTAATCTCGTTGTTCTGGTCACTATTAATGGTGGAGGATTTATTTTCGCTCTGCTGACAGATCATGATAAAAATGCTATTGCGACTGGATATAAAAGCAACTGCGATTCGTGCAATTTACATCAAACTAACAAACTACCCACAGAATATTACAGGAAACCTAAAAAAACTGAAAATCAAAAGAGTCAAAGAATGACCGGTCTTATTATAAACCTCTTCCTCCTGGCCTTCTGTCTCGCATCTTTTACATCCCCTTGTCTGGGTAATTTTGACGCTGTAATTTCCCCCACATCGTCAACTATCTCTGGGCATCACAAATTGGTAAGCTCTCTCACTTTCCATATCAAATTTGTGTTACCAAATTACCAAATATGTTATAATAATAATAATTTACTCAGTAATAATTCTTACAAGGCTTATAACCCATGGAATTACAAGTTACTGCATGTGTAGTAAATTAAATTACCGGAGTCTGAGTATAAGTAGATCACCATCTATGTTATAAAAACTAGTCAATATTTTCAGGTCATTACCCCTGAACTCAGAAGGCAATTTGGCATCTCTAAGGAATCCGATTTGAAGACTGGGGTCCGAAAACATTTCGGTAAGTCCCCAGATTACGCCTTCGTCCAAAGCCCCACCCCTTGGAATGACCTCTACAGCACCTATCACTGGCATCAAGTGACCTCCCGGATGACCGCGCAACTCGGGTCCTCATTCCATGAACGGGAAACCACGAGCGTCATAGCATCAAACGATTACACAAACGAGAGCGAGCTAAATGTGACGATCAAGGAGACCTTATCCCACACCATTTATGACTCGGTGGAAACCACGTGGTCTGGAGAAGTTGGACTAGCAGCGAGTTTTGATTTCAGCGTTAACGTCTTCTTCGTAAAAGGGTCAGCTTCTTTGGACCTCACCACCAAATTCGGGTACGCCAAAACGGAAACGAAATCCTCAACTATGGGATCCGGTACGGAAGTTGAGCTAACCTTAAGACCAAAGAGCTCCGTTACTGTCGAGATTGTATCCAAGATTGGTGAGGGTGTGGCTACGATGAGATACAAGGCCATGCTGGAGGGTAGCGTGGCAACAAAATACAACCGGAAGTACAAGAATCATCATTACTGGTCAATTGCTGTAACCCGCGTGCTTCGCGCACTGGGAAAACCGAATACAAAAATTATTACTCAAACGATCAAGAGCTCGGTTTACTTTACTAAATCAATTGTTATCAGGGATCGTAGATCTCGGGGAGTTTTGCGTAAGTTTGATGTCGATAATGAGGATCGAGTTGTAATTAATGAAATGGAGGATGGTAGCTTTTGCATAGAAGATAATCAAATTATTGGTGTGAACTAAGGGAATTATGATTGGGCGGCAACTTTACATTTACCTATATTAAGGTATTTAATTATTTCAATAAATATCCTTGTAATTGATTTTGTAGACGTTTGCGTATTCATTTAATCGTCGGTGGACTAACAATAGCAGTCTTTCCCATGTAATATTCAAAACTTGATGGGAGTAATTTTAGTTGTTTACCATCAAAAATAGGCGGACACGTATTTTGCTTCTTCCCCATGCTCATATTTAAGCGCAGGGTAGGATTTTCAAACATTGTTTCAGCCAAAATTTTCAAATGATGGCAAATTTTTGAATTTTTGCGCGAATTCAAAAATTGTAAGCATGTATGCTTAGAATTACTTCCTTTCCAATATAAAAATTTCAACAAATTATGAAAATGCGAGCTTTTCCGATATTCTGTATATTTCTAAACCCATTTAGCGGATTGTTTTAGGATAAAACTCTGCGGAATTTGTAAAATAAATTATCATATGTACCATACATAATGTATGCGTTTAAAACCACTGTTTATCTCATATTCAAGATAATTAAGGCGTACACCTAAGCACCTGAGAAATATTTAATGCACGTGACAAAAATTTTCGATTACTGAACAATTTGAAAATCTTTATTTATTAGTAACAAATTATTAAAAGGTAGCAAATATTTACTTCAAAAAACTGTATACATTGAGAATTTCAAAAGACTTTACTACTCCAAAATCAATCTCACTGGTAGACATCCGACTTAATCTCTTTCGCGACTTGGCTGCGTCACCGTACCCGTGGGACGAATTTTTGCTCTGGCACAATTTAAAATATTTGGTTGAAATTTCCTGGGGTTGATCCTTTCAGTAGAATCCAATCCTCCCCATCCACACCTGCTGGCTTCTATGCTTCACAACTGGACGTGAATACATCAGGTTCTGTCGCGTAGTACATTAACAAACTGTCTTTTGCTATGTCGAGTTCTACAGGAAAGGAGCAGGTCACGTAGATGTTGCCATCCTGAGTTTGTACTGTGTAGGGGGATCGAACTGCTCATAATTTAGAGATAGTCCGATCCGCGGCGGTAGCACATTAAAGGCTAATTACCGACATCCTGAGTTTGACAGGTTAGTTGTTGTCCCACTGCGAAAATATGGACGAAATTATGTTACTTGGGATATTTAATAGGGTTCTATAATTTTTTTGGGTAACTTACATGACGTAGGAATACGAGGGAGGATACGGTGCCGATAGGAAAAACAAAGTTGGCCATTTGGAAATTAGGTGGTTCGATATGTCTAGGGATTTATATGGCTTGAGTGGTTGGCGATTCCGGTTGAGGTTGGGAGTCCTGAAATGGGGAGCTTTATATGTGCAGCTAATGTCCGTTATGCAGAAAATGTATATGGAATAAGTAAATATGAACAAACACCCATGGTTGATGATAAGAACGACGTAATACTGATAGCAGCAAATCGGTATTTCTCAAATGGGTCATAAAAATGGGTCATTCTCTATCATGTTTATGCCGAAAAATACATATTTGCATTTCCACCCACACTACTAATATGGACCTCATCCCAATATTTGCGAACTTGGCTTGAATAGATTAAATAAGTGGAACAAACTTATTTATTTCTGGGTTAACTTGTAGAAACCTGGACGTCGCATCTAATATGGTATTATTTAGTATTTTTATAATTTCATATTTGCCACTCCCACTGACCATTACAACATGAACCTGAGCAAGGGTTTTGTGACCTATTGACCGATAACCGAACGGGCTCGTTAGCGAGGATAGCAGCGCGGAATTCGATATAAGATCGAATTCCGTGCTGCTATCCTCGCTAACGAGCCCGTTCGATGAGGCCAGTTAGTCCTCTTTGGCGTCTAGTTTGTCATTTGGTGTCCTTATCTTAACTCTACTACGTAGCGGATATATGTCTAATGGGATATTTCTAGTAATTGGGATATCCTTAGAAAACTCTGTTCTGATATCTGATTCTATTTCTAAATTTAAGCTGAATAAATCCCCATCTGTTGGGATCTCTATCATTTTCGCAGCTGGACTGTACTGATAAAAACGATTTCAACGAATTGGTACAAAACTAGCTTTACCATGGAAATGATTGTCCCCACGATTTACAAACCGCACCGTAATGCTAACCGTAATGGATGTCGACGAAATTCAAATCTTCATGCCTTTTCAACTTATCGCTTTTAACGATTTCGCTAATCTCCCACCTATAGATTTCTTCCGTTACAAAGTTTTTACACTATGACAATTTTTCAGAGGAGATGGTGATTCTTTCTTTTCGGAAATTAGAGGCTGTACTCTGGCACCGGTCAGACACAATTATTTAGAGAAACGTTGTATGGAAACCAACAAAGCTTCTGAATAACTATGCAAATTAGATTTTAATTCTAAAATTACACCAGGTTTTTACATTTGCGGAATTTGCTTCATAATAGTTAACTTTGTGTTGATTGGGGCAATTGTAAGATATAAAGTGCTAAAGAAAATTAATAATGTAAGAACATGGACATGAATAAATGGTTCCCGACGAGCCTCAATTCAGATTATCTGAAGATCTTACAATGCGAAGGTGTCAGCGGCTACGCTCAGATTTTAAAGCAACCATGTAAAATTTCTAGTCCAAGTCCACACAACCAACGTTTAGTTTTGCACTTGGTTGAATGCGACGATTTAAATAACTTATGAGTGATCAAAGTTTGAAAAAATGCATGATTTTCAGCGTGCGGGAGGTCAGAAATATTTTTTATTCCCTCTCCACCCGCTTTCATGCATCTCCTCGTCTCACCCCTCACTATTGCATTTTTCGCTAATATTTTCTGGCTTTGTAAATAATAAATAAAAATCATAAATAGGAAACAATTTATTGTATATTTATGTGCTGAATTAATTTTTGGTACAAGTTTGCATGTAATTTTTGTGGTAGAAATCATTGAAACCGAACGAGATTTCACAACAACTGCATGTGATAAATACAATATTGTTTCACTCTGGTACACTACAGCATATCTCCCGTGGTTTGAAGCATACTTCGCTTACATTTTTAAATATCAGTTTCTCCTCGTTAACCCAAGATAAATTAAAATTTTACGCAAATTAAAATTATATAACTATTTTAACAATATTGATAATTTTGACTATGCAATTTCTATTACACTTGGGCAGCGGTGATGAAGAAAAAACGGGAATTTACACTATTGACCTCCAAAGTGGGGAGGAGATGCGTGAAACCGGGTGGAGAGGGAGTAAAAAAATATTTCTGACCTCTCGCATTGTTAGTGAAGATTTTTAGAGATTTTATGCTAATTTTTCAACGCTTGGTTTTTTAAGGAGTGACGAAATTGCACATCATTCTTAAAGGTCAGGATGTCAACGCAGAGTACTCCCGTAAAAAAAATACTGCCAGTTTACTTCGATGCAATGGACACCGTGGATCTGTTTCCCATCAAGATCAAAATTACATTCATGCAGGATGGTGCTCCAGTACATACTTCAAACGCCAACATGAAGGTTTTGAAAGCGCAAATTTTTACAGTCCTGGGAACGGGGACATGGCCAGGAAACAGTCCGGAGTTGAATGCTATAGAGAACCTGTGGTCTGACCTCACGAGTACAGCCTATGAAGATCCAGTTCCACATGACCATGCTTCACTTGTGCGTCGTTTCCAAAAATGTTGGTAAAAATCTCGCTAACCGTCTTGGAAGAACTGACCCACAGCTCCCCCAGAAGAATTAAAGATATGACGGATGCTAATGTGAGGGGTACTAACTATTAGGCTATTACATACGGCAAGGATTTATGGAATAAAAAAATGTAACTTTGAAAATAAAGGCATTTTTAAACGTGATCTTAAATTGCCTCGAAACTTTATTTACACCATGTATCTAATTTTCCAAATTCTTCGTTATGTCCTGATGCCACAGGTTTTCGCAAATAGTTCATTCGAAGAATCATTTCTAATCATTTATCATTTTTTCAGCGTTCATATCTAATACAATCCTGTAGAAATACACACAGCTCATCAAATTCTGCATCGAGGCCAGATCTAAATCAATCATGCTGCTCAGGTTGTTAAAAGTTAATTCATAAATAAATACATTTGTTCCGGGACCCAGCCTTCCGATTTTGCCTCACCTAAGAAATAAAATATAACTTGAAAAAGTAAAAGATCTAAGGTGAGGCAAGTGCACTTAAAAGTATAAAACAAGCCCCCTCACCCCTTAACATTACCTCGCCTGGGCTGATGATCACAAAGAACTCATTATGATCATAATAACCAATGGCTATTAGGTGCGTCGTGTTAATTATGTTGAATAATTTCTAATTTATTCAAATTTTAAATAGATACATTAAATTGACAACATTTCATTTTAAAACTGAGATTTCCAGATAGTGTTTTACAAACTGTCTGTTTTTGAAATTTAACATGATTTGCTTACTTTGTGTCAAGGAATAATTCAGTTTCCATACTACGTACATATCATATCTAATTCAAATAAATATTAATTTTGTAAATAAATACTATTTTTTCACGATGGATGAGAACAGTTCAATTAAAAGTTATCATCAGCCCAGGCGAGGTAATGTTAAGGGGTGAGGGGGCTTGTTTTATACTTTTAAGTGCACTTGCCTCACCTTAGATCTTTTACTTTTTCAAGTTATATTTTATTTTATTCTTTTTCTCTATAAGAATTAAATCTGGTTTACGAAAACCCATAATTTATCAGGATGCCTGGATATATGGAATATATATGGAATATACATGTATAAAATTTTGTCTCCCTACTCGTTTTAAGAATTTAATTTGTAAATCCCAAAGTTTTTTTTTACTAAATGGACATTGCATGGCGAATAACAATCAGGCAATTAGATCCACCAAAAACCATTACGTAGTGTGGGCGTAACTATATGGTTACTGTTACGGCGCCGCTCACTATAGCTCAGAAAACTTGAGTCGCAAACCGCTGTCGATTTGTGACCTAACAATGGTCTTGTTAGGACCCAACTTCGGCGACGTAAAATATACTTGAAACTTGACTTTTTACTTGACTAACTGACTACTACTCTGCACGTGCATATCCTAAACCTGATTATGACCGTGAGAAGCTATGTCGATGAGAATTATGTGAATTACGGCTTGCTCCACACGTTGTAATATCTGGCAGTAGAAATAAGGTCAACTAAAGTCCCAGAAAAGCACTTTTTAGCTATCAATACTGGTTTTAATTCAGACACACTATTTACTACATTTACAACAATGAATGGAAACTCTAATTGCTAATTACTCAAAGAAAAGCTATAAAAAATTGGAGCAATATCTGTTTGCTTCCACTTGGCTCGACTACTTACTTACTACTTGACGACTTGCTTAATACTACTTCTTAATACTGGCCAACGTTTTCTCTTCTTTTTCCACGCTGGTACGCAGTACCACCGCTCCTCACAGATGGCGCTCTATGCCACACATTCAAGCTACTTA